GTGAATGGATGGATGACTGGGTGTGTAAAGCGCTTTGGGGTCCCTAGGGGGGACTAGTAAAAGCGCTATACAAATACAGGCCATTTACCATTTACATTCGTAAGTTACGATGGCAAACACTGACCGCCGGAGCAAACAACTCTCAACTTCACATCATCATCATCGTCTCCTTCTCGTCCTTCTTCTCCTCAGTCCTTCTGCCGAGGGCAGTGTTCGCGTAAACCGGCCTAAGTGAGGACCTCGGACACTCCCTGCCTCCTAGCCCTCCTGCTCCTCGCAGGCGAGCGCTTAGGCAGATGGGTCCAAGGTTACGCGTAAACCGGCCTCCATGAGGAGCCCGGACTCTCCGTGCCCCCTAGTCCTCCTACCTCCTTTTCCTCGGTTCTCCTTCTCCTCGCAGGTGAGCTCTTAGCCGGATGGGCCCTGGGTTACACGTAAACGGGCCTGAGCAAGGAACTCTGGCTCTCCGTTGCTCCTCGTCTTCCTTGCTCCTTCTCCATCTTTCTCCTGCGCCTCCCTAGTGAAAGAGCAGCTGCTTGGCCTGCCTATTACGCGAACACTGCTCTCTGTTTGGACTTCAGACACTCCTTGCCTCCTCCTCATCCTTGCTCCCTCTACATTGTTCTCATGCTCCTCGCTAGCATACGCTTAGGTCTGCGGAGGGCGGGTTTCGCAAACACCCCCGTCTGTGAGGACCTCGGGCTCTGCGTTGCTCCTTGTCCTCCTTGCTCCGTCTCCACCGTCGTCATGCACCTTGCTAGTGTAAGAGCAGCCGTGTAGCCTGCCTATTTTGCAAACACAGCCCTCCAGTTGGACCTCGGGCATCCTGTGTCTCCCCGTACTCCTTGCTCCCTCTACATTGTTCTCAAGTGCCTCGCTAGCGTACGCTTAGGTCTGAGGAGGGTGGGTTTCGCGAAAACCCCCGTCGGTGAGGACATCGAGCCCTCCGTTGCTCCTCGTCCTCCTTGCTCCTTCTCCATCATTCTCATGCGCCTCGCTAGTGAAAGAGCAGCTGTTTGGCCTGCCTATTACGTGAACACCGCCCTCCAGTTGGACCTCGGGCTCTCCATGCCTCCTCGTCCTCCTTGCTCCCTCTACATCGTTCTCATGCTCCTCTCTAGCATACGCTTATGTCTGCGGAGGGCGGGTTTCGCAAACACCCCCTTCGGTGAGGACCTCGGGCTCTCCGTGCCTTCTTCTCCTCCTTGCTCCCTCTCCTTCGTTCTCAAGTGCCTCTCTACTGAAATAGCAGCTGTTTGGCCTGCCTATTATGTGATCACCACCCTCTGTTTATGCTTCTCACTAGCATACGCTTAGGTCTGCGGAGGGCGGGTTTCACGAACACCCCCTTCGGTGAGGACCTCGGGCTCTCAGTGCCTTCTTGTCCTCCTTGCTCCCTCTACATCCTTGTCATGCTCCTCGCTAGCGTACGCTTAGGTCCGCGGAGGGCGGGTTTTGCCAACACTGCCCCCCAGTTGGACATCAGGCTCTCCGTTGCTTCTCGTACTCCTTGCTCCCTCTACTTCATTATCAAGTGCCTTGCTAGTGAAAGAGCAGCTGTTTGGCCTGCATATTACACGAACACCGTCCCTCAGTTGGACCTCGGGCTCTGCGTTGCTCCTCGTACTCCTTGCTCCTTCTACATCATTCTCAAGTGCCTCGCTAGTGAAAGAGCAGCTGTTTGGCCTGCCTATTATGCGAACACTGCCCTCCAGTTGGACCTTGGGCTCTCCATGCCCCTCGTCCTCCTTGCTCCTTCTCCTTTGTTCTCAAGCGCCTCGCTGGCATGCGCTCAGGTCTGCGGAAGGCAGGTTTTGCGAACACCCCCTTTGGTGAGGACCTCGGACCCTCCGTGCCTCCTCATCTTCCTTTCTCTTTTTTAAAACGTTTTCCTCGCTCTCACACGACTCGCTGGCGAGCCCTTAGCTTTGCGGAGGGCAGGTTTTGCAGACACCACCGTCTGTGAGGTCCCCAGTACCTCCTACACACACACACACAGGAGGCAGTCGCGAAACCAGGGCTCGTTGTGTGTGCGCCCGGAGCAGCTACGGGGGAAACACATGGGACAGCCAACCAGTTTGGGGCCATGGTTTATTCAATGTGTATTTTCAGTGTCGTTTAACTTGCTAATCTGATCTGAAAGAATTTCCTTGGATGTCCTTTAATTTCACTTCTTTTTTCTTTCTTCTTTTCTTAGCTTACTAAAAATGTTGGCGACCAAAGGCCGGATCCAGAATGTGCTGCTTGTGATACTCGCGTTATGTGGGCAAACTGCTCGCTGTCAACATCGATACAAAGGTAAAGTGCAATTCCAGGGTTGTGTGCTGCTTCTGGTACTTGCTTTATGTGGACAAACTGCTCATTGTCAACATCAATACAAAGATAACAAAAGAATAACCTAGTGTAACGTAGTGCTTTTTTCTTTTTTTTTCTCGAATGATTCAAATGTTACCGTCATTTTCCCAACCCCACAGGCTCTGCGACCCGTGAAGAACTGAGACTCCTTCTGGTCAGTAAAACAGGATCGGGAAAGAGTGCGTCCAGAAACACCATCCTGGGGGGATGCGAACGCTTTCAAAGAGGACGTTTTGCCCAAGTCTGTCACCGACGGCT